GGATTCTGTGCGGCTCCGGGGTGGAGGCAGCGGTCCCCGCGCTCGCGGGGGGTGGCCGCAGGAGGTGCCTAGCCCTAAACGCTCCCGCCGCCGCCCGGAGAAGCCCTCCTCCTTTCCCCGCTCTGACCTCCGCCCCGGGCCCAGTTGGCCTCCTGCTGGATTTTCCGCGTCGTTGTTGCAAGACATGCCACACGGCGACAACCCCGCGCAGGATCCTCAGGGCGGTGGCAGCGCAACAGGTCGGATGCCCCGCTGATGAGTTAACCCTCCTCCCTCCTAGACACAGCCCCCTTCTCGCCAATGGATCGTGGCTTAGGCCAGCGATGGCGAACCTTTTGGGCTCCGTGTGTCAAAAATTCGGAAAATGCCTAACTTGACTCTGCTGGCATGTGTCACACACACACACACACTCCACAACAAAAGAGACATACTTCTTTACATATTCATTTATTTAAAAAAAATAAAGTCCAATCATGTGTGGTGCTATGTATTATGTAAAGAAAGATCAAATAATTACTGAAATGAAATGAGTAAAGCAAACTCAGTTTCTTTGATAACTCAAACAGGGAAAATAGTTGTCAGGTGTTGGTGAATGCTGGCGTGTCACCTTTGACAAGCATGTCAGAGGTTTGCCATCACTGGCTGAGGCCCTGCAGCTGTTGCACGGTTTGGATGGTTTTTACCCTAAATTGCCAGGTGGAGTCACTAGGTTTATAATTACAGTACACAAAGCTATAAGATAGCATGGTTTTGGCTTAGCCTGTTGTCTGAATGTGGTTTATTCCATAAAGGAAGGTTAAGCAGACTCTGGCCTGTGAATCAGTGTGAATCAGATCCTAGGAAGAAAGACTCTGTAAAATAAGGGGGTAGCCAACTGCCAGAAAGTTTGGGGAGGGGGCAGCTTGCTCATTCACAGAGTGAGTCCTGTGATAGCCTGGAGTCAGTCACCAAATACCTGTTTCACAGAAAAGCAAACTGGTGAAGCTGTAAGATAAATAAATTGCTCAAGAAATGGGGCTTCTGCCTCCCCTTCGACAGCCTGCTTTGAAGTCACTGTTCCCTCTTTCATTTTAGATCAACAACCAAACCCTTGGGCCAGATCTACTCACTGCACTGAATTCCCCCTCTTTCAAGAGAAGCTCTCAGAAAAAAACTAAATGCCCAGAAAACAAGATCAGACCGTCATTAGCTGTATTCACACAGTATGGTTATTCCTAATGTGGCTTGTTTTCTGGCTTGCTGTGGTTGAACCTAAGCACTGGGGTTTGTAAATCATGATTTATAGCTGAGCATATGTGAATACAGCCAGTAGTACCATTTTAGGGCCATCGTTTGGTTAGAAAGAATTCTTAGTTGATGAGTTAGACCTTTTAATTAAAAAAAGTATGTTAAGAAAATTGCTCACACCCAAATGTCAGGGGTATTCCCTCCTACATTTCCTGGATAAACTGCAGGTGGCTAGACTTGCCCAATACAGGACCATAGCAATTGGGTTCACACAACATGGTAAGCCAAAACCAAATGAACTTTATTATGACTTGCTCTGATATGGGAACCCCCTCAGAGAAGAGGAATGTCTTCCAAGATAGCTCCTCCATCTTCCAGTTTGCCGAAAACTATTTTTCCCAAATGGGTATCCTCTATGTATGTTTGCCTCCAACTCTGATAATCCTCAGACAGCAATGCTAGTGGAATAGCAAGAGTATGAGGTAACGAGAGTAGAAACTTCAAAATAATCTATATAAACATTCAGGAAGCAAAGCTGAGAAATCTCAAATCCACAGGGCAAAATGTATATTGGGCTAAATCAAAAGGCAAAAAATGTCCACATTTTTAAGTGCCTCAGATATTCATGATGACTTGGAAATCTGGAAGGCTTGTCATTTTTCTGTTGAGTTGAAATAATATGAGTATATTAGCACAAATTAAAATTTACCTAAAAGATAAAAGTTCACCTCTTAAAAGTACAGGGGGTCCAAGAGGTGAAGCTTCATGGAATTAATATACAAATAACTCTGCCTCAATCCATCCTTGATATTGAAGTTTCCTCATCAGATTGCTTGAATTTTTGTTTCTATTAGAAGCCCCCACAAGTGAATTGCATTTTGACTATGTTTATACAACACATGGTGTCCCACAACCCCAAAGTAGCCAATCACATTTTAAGTGTTTGGTGCAAACCCAATCCACGTAGTTAATTTTGGTTCAGTATGTCATATGGACACAGAAATTGGATTGAGTAAATCATGATTTAGTGAAAGCTACATCTAGGTATGTAGCTCTGAAGATGGATCCATAAGAAAAGAATATTGGGGGGGGGGGCTATTTTTTTCTATTTGTCCCAGCCTGTAATGATTGGGTTCAGTATGTGTCTACAATACACTAAATCCAAACGTTTGCAAGATGACCTTCCAAACCCAAACTCAACAATAGTGGCAAATGGCAGCTGTTCTGTCCTGAATTACATGGGAAGCCTCCAAACCATAGTTAAAGTTAGCAGTGCATTCGGGGATGGGGGCACACACACTCGTTCATCAAGCTTGCTAGCTTAGCATGCTGTGCAGACAATCTATAAGAAAAGTCACTTTCAGGATTTGTATAATCATAGGGATAGAACGGTGTTTCTTAAACATATTTCTCTCAGGATCCCTTCCCTTTAAAAAATTATGGGGGACCCCCAACGAGCTTTTGTTTGTATGGGTTATATTTATCGATATTTACTGTATTAAAAGGGATGCATTTGCTGCTGCTACCACATGAGAACACGATTGTTTGATGGAATTTTAGTATCTTATTTTTCAACATAGGCCTGCAAATAATTTTGATTTTGCAGCCCCCTGAGAGGGCGTTGAAGGACCCCCAAGGGTCCTAGGACCATACTTTAAGAAACACTGACTTAGAAGAAAGCCCCACTGAATATAGTGGGACTTGTTGTTGTTACAGTCCATCAAGTCCTTTCTGACTCCTGAGGACTACAACGTTTGAAGAAGTGGTTTGCCAATACCTTCTTCCTTAGGCTAAGAGAGAGGGACAGGCCCAAAGTCACCCAGCTGGCTTTCAAGCCTAAGGCAAGACTAGATTGCACAGTCTCCCAGCTCCTAATCCAGTACCATTAACTACTAAAACTAGCTCTCTTAGTGGGGCTTAGTTTCAGAAAAATACTATACAGCCTTAGAGTGCAGTTCTAAGAACATTGACCCAGGTATATGTTCTACTGAACATAATGTTGTGAATAAACTTGCTTTGGAGTGTACCATTAATTCTCTCATATTACAGATAGGAGCTACAGAGACAGAATGGTTTAGGTGAGGTCACCTCATTTCACATCAAGGATAGCTTCTAAAGTGGGAGCTTCTTGTTTCCCCACTCGGCCTCCTCTGCAGCCACTATATTAGGCCAGCTCTTTAAAATTAGGTATGTTGTAGACACGTGGTGGTGAAAAAAGACATGCCACATGAGGAAAGTGCTGCATCACAGTCCTGCTGGTGAGTGTTAATAATGTGGTATAACAAACCCAGCTAGAATGAAAATAGCTTTAATAATTAGAACAGAAGAACAACTAAGCTTTACAGGGAAAAAGGGCTTGTACGCAGTCATATTTTCACTCAATGGAATGAGATATTAGAGTAATATCTATTTTTTCATAAAAAGAACTAATCGTTAAAGGCATAAGCTAAATATCTCCAATTAAACTTTTTTGTCTAGACTGGTTGCTTTGAGTCATCCTATTATATGAATCTAGATTGACTCAAAAATACACTACACTGGCTTTACCTATTGTACTAAGCTGTCATTTTTATTTTTTAAAAAATAATGGTTTGTTGGCATACTATAGTTTTTAGGTTGTAGCTTATAGTGTATAGTGGCTTATTCAGCAAACCACAGCTTATGATGTGTGAATCAATATAAACTATGTCCTTTTAAAATAGACTCTTTCCTTTTCTTATTTGCACAGAAGGAGCCTTTGTTATGAAATCATAATGAAGATCCTTTGAGCCACGTTCAGCTCCCTAAGGACTTGATGGACATATCCATGTAGTTTTCTTGACTTCGGTATGGAAGTGCTACTGCTTTCTCCTGGAATGTTATGTCCATGGAGGTACAAAAATGGAATGTTATGTCCATGGAGGTACAAAAATGGAATGTTATGTCCATGGAGGTACAAAAATGTAAACTTCTTGTCTGCTGCAGAAGACTTTCTAAAAACTGAAGGAGCCCTATAATTAGTACTGCTTTTATGAATAAAACCCTTGATGCTGCTGCAAACTGAAATCTGATACATGCACTTTGCTGCACCAGTTTGTTTAATCATGATTTACTGAATAAACCTGAATTGGTTAGATTGTATAACACACAGTCATAAACCATAGCTGATAAACCAGTAGCTGGGTTCAGCAATAGATTAAGCAAAAACCCAGCGAACTAAGTAGTTCAGTGCAGGTTGTGAATCCAGCCAGTGAACTGTAGTTTATGTAACTTCTGCTGGCCAGGACTCCATTTTGTACTGGTACAATATAAAGTTCCTCACTTCCCTCATCCATAGGGACGTTCCATCAAATCATTATATTGATGCTAAGCAATATAGAGAAAAGTAATTTATACTAATTAGTTGCATAAAGTGGATGCTGGTACTGATAGAAGGACTTTGCCTGATGAAC